CATATGAAATATCATTCCTTAAACTGTGAGGTGTGAAGGCAGTACGGAGCCTGGTTGTTTAATTAGAGATATCTGTCAGTCATTTTAATTGTCTTTCTCTTTCAAAACCACAGGAGGAACACAGTGCAAATGTCCACTCAGTGTTGCCTTGTTTTTATTCTTGGATCATCAGTAGGACTATGTTTAGTGTACAGTTTTTATGGAAATAACTCACTGTACAAATAGAAACTCATGCATAATTTATTTAATCCCTATTTGAATATTTTTATCTGAAACTGTCTGCCTGCCTGCACAATGGTATCTTCATTCAGAAAGTAATATATAAAGATATAGTGGGATGAATCTCGCACATGTCAGTGAGCATGAGCATATTCAGTCTATATTTAACCCTCCAAAAAAACAAACCAAAAAAAAAAACTATCATGAAATTAGAAAAAACTATTTCATGAAAATGAAGCCATATTTAGGACCGTTAAAAGTTTTTGCACTGACATTTTTTATGTTTTCTACCCCAATTTTTATCACTGTAACGCAAACAAATCTCATTTGTAGCGCTGTAACTTGGAATAAAAAATTATTGAAATAGTAAAGTATATATCATGACAGTATTTAACAATGCAGATTTAAATTGTAAAGAAAGCAATGTAATATAGTAAAAAAAAAATACAGTATCAAAGTAACGAGATTAGGTATCACCTTTTAGAACAATGAGAATTATTTAAAAAAAAACACCATTAGTTACACGCTCACAGTGCTCCTCTATTACATCTCTAAGTTTCCAATTTACAACTGTTTACAAACATTTTTTTTTTTAATTCTTGCATTGAGGATGTTTCCCTCAAGAAAATCCTGTTTTTGCGACAAGTCATTCTCAGAGATTACCTTTAATTTTATGAATGGAAAAAATGGAAAAAAAATAAAAACATTTAAAAAATATTCTTGGTATTTCAGTGTTCAATGTTTGAATGCAATTCTTTCTCAACTCACTATATCAGAAAATGTTTGTCAGTGAAGGTGTTGATATATTGCTTTACGCCAAAGTCACCTGTGCCACTAAATTTAGAAGTTTCTAAATGATTCACATGTGGGAGAATGTTCTGTGCTATAGGTGTCAAGACATATGATGTTGCTAGGATGTGATTCACATGGTAATATCTTTATTTTTAATACATTTCCCTGTGCTATTCACTAATCATACTGTTTCGTTTCAAGTAATAAAAAGTCACAAATGACGCACAAGCAGTCACAGATGACCAGTAGCCCCTATTAATTAATTAAATTTTTTCCCTAATTATTTATGTCTTGTGGAACTAAAACATGCTGTGGTAATATGACTTATCATGTTTTATCACCATTTAGAACGTAATTTTCTTCTGTGAGGTGGAAAAGAGTAACAGAAATAGATTCATGCAGTCCATTACAAAGACCCAAGCTGAGTCAAGAAAGTCCTCTCAGCCACAGGCCTGGTTCTGGAGACTCAAACATGTCTGACTGAAAATACAAGCCAGATCAAACCATACACACACTCAAACAGAGAGAGAGAGAGAGAGAGAGAGAGAGAAAAAAGTAAATTGGTCCCTAGGCCTATAAATAGGTCAGTCACACACCGTGACTGACCTGGACTAGAAAAAGTCCTAACCATGTATGAAGTCTGCGTCTGCAAGGAGACAGGCAGTCACGGACAAACTAGGTGACCCTATTGCAGTGGTTTTTAATCCTGGTCCTGGGGTCCCACGGCTCTGCACATTCTGTAAGTCTCTCTTATCTGACACACTCAGCTGAGTTCATGGATCTCTCTCCTAACGAACTGATGATCTGAATCAAGTTTGTTAAATAAGGGAGGCACAGTGGTGTTGTCTAGTTTTTTGTAGTGGGTATACTCTGAAATTCCCTCCCAGCCTCATACTCACCATCCGTCCCACAGCAACACCCCATAAGCACCACCACACTCACTTTACAATATGCATCTATGTAACAGAGCATTCTGAAAGACTGCAGATATGTTGGCTTGAGAAAGCCAACATACTGTTATACTATTTAAACTTATTATTCTTCTGAGACCAATAATTTTCAGCTGTAGCCTACTGTATATCCTCCTAGGGCTTTAATGCTACAGGCACCAAACTCGTCAGAGACATTGGACCTGATCTGTAGTTTGTTTCTATATCTTTTCTAACTGATGAGACTTAAAGTTTTTTATAAATAATTATCAAAAATCAAAGATTTCCCATCGACTTGCATTGGCTGAGCAAAAATGCCCTCTCTAGAGGACAACTGCGGTCCACTAGAGGGAGCCACAGGATAAAAAAATCCCCTCATTTACTTTCGTTTTCAGACAGTTAAATTTACAAATAATTGCATACTTTTCCTTTATGCCGCCTAACATATTTGATCATGACCAGGTCAGGTAGTGTCCAAAGGCAAGCGTGAAAGACGCTCAGGACAGTTGACTGATCTGTCACTGCTCCGATGGGGCCACTGGTGCGTCCTCACCAAACGTTATCATTTGCACGTTTTTTAAGCCTTGCCAATTAAAACATTCAAGCGATTCGTGTCATCTGCTGCAGCTGAAGCATCAGCAGCTTCAGGGGCAGGCTTCCGAAAACACTGAAAGAGTGTAGTTTGAGTTTGCTTTCGTTTCATATCTCCTTTAGTGATTCACATTCAATGCTGCGCAAGAGTTGCGCAATAGCACTGGTCATCAACAGAAACACGGCGTGATTTTCAAAAAGTAGGTGCTTTGCAACATGGACAGGGTGAATTTATGAATGAACGTGTTAAAGTTCTGTTACAAAATGATGTTGTTACGTATTCTCGCGCTTTTTTAAGTGGGCATACGGAAATCCTTCACCTTTCCTAGTGGGTATACGGCGTATACCTGCGTATCACCTAGAGACTACACCACTGGCCCGAAGACATGTGCAGAGCGGTGGGTCCCCAGGACCAGGATTGAAAACCACTGCCCTATTGCACAACAATTAAGTGGAAACATATCTCCACTGACTGACAGCTTGCCATACATATGGGTGAATCTTATGAAACCTCAAACCTGTCAATATATTTGAAACCTTATGAAACCTGTCTATATAGTCTCTGAAGAATCATGCAACACTTGACTGGAGTAATGGCTTCTGAGAATTTAGCTTTGCCATCACAGAAATAAATGAATAAATGACATTTTAAAATATATTCAAATATAATAACAGAATGAAGTCACAATGCAAAAACAAATATGCAATGGTCCTCAAAATTGGCTTCGTCGTTGTTTATTTCAGTACTACAACAAGTGTATGTTCTCTCACGCCAGCTAAGGTCTCTAAATGAGCGCCGCCTTGCCATGCCACAAATAAATAAATAAATAAACACATACATACATACATACAAACAAACATACATATTAAAAAAAACAACAACAACAAAAGGTCATTCTCCAAAACCTGTACCCTCTCTGTTCCTCTCTGGTGGAATGAGTTGCCAACCTCCACCCGTCCCGAACGGCTGAGACCATCACATCTTTCAAGAAGCAGCTGAAGACAAGACCGTGTTCACCAAAACGTTTTTTTCCCCGAGGCTAGCGTATTTTGTTCAATTGTTTTCAATGGGAGCTCCGCGTTTTTGAAAACGCCAGGAGCGTGCCGAGCGCTGAGCGTCTTTTTCACGCTCTTTTCTCGGCGCCGAGAGTTGAAGAATGTTCAACTTTGGGTAAACCGCAGCGCTCATTACTGTCACTTTTGAGTCAGCCGTCCAATCAGAGTGGAGGAGGGGCGGGGCAAATACCACACCGATAAACTGTCACAACCCTAGACATACAGATTATTATGATATTTTACTATTAGCTAAATACTTTATTCATAAATGTAGATGTTTTAAATCTCCTCCTTTGTTTACTGTATTTAGAAATGATCTCAAACATTTCTCAGATGCCCTTAGTAAAAATGAAAAATCAAAAGGCATTGAAACTATTTAATTTGTTTATATTATATAATTTGATGTAATTATATTTTCTATATATTATAATTTAATGTTATGTTTTATGATGTTTCTTGGAATGTTAAATGTTTTGTCTGGAATTAATATTGTTCTATTGCGTTGAGCCTTCCATGCAAGATTATTTTCTTTTTGTATGCTAACTAATGCCATGTTGTTGTATTCAGATTTTGTACTTAATCAAAAAAACAAAAAAACAAACAAACAAAAAAAAAAACACTTTATTATGTCTATGGTCACAACACCTACGCATTCACTACCAAAAAAGAAAAAGAAGAAGAAAAAAAAATTCCTGACAGCTAAACTTAATGACAGTTTCCCATTGCTATCATGAGCACCGGATAACTCTCATCCATATGGGTTTATGATCAGCAGTCATTCGCAGTTTTTTTCGGCGCGTTTTTCTGACGTCATTCTGAGCTGCTGCTCATCAGACGCGCTGCTCAACTTGAGTTTATTATTGTTAGAAATCATTAACAACGGTCCCTCTAGATTCTCTTTGCCACCTCAGATATTCTCAATCCCTCAAAGTGGATATAACGGCCGGGAAGTAAGAAAACACACATTCATATGTATTCTCAATACTTCAACTTTATTCATAGATACAAAGATATTATATAGGCATATGTCGAGGGGAGTTTCAACCCTTTAACCAATGAGGATATAGATGACATACATATAGGATCTTTGGCCAAGAATATGTGTTTATATAAAATGGCCATATGAACAGAAAAACATGGACATATTAGGAATAGACTTTTGCGAAGGAGGCTAAACTATCTTCATGGTTTCATCACAAACCTCATTCCTAGCTATCATGTCCTTATTCAGACATTTGAATCAAGAGAAGCTAATGTATACATTTGCGCATGCATAGCTCGAATGTGAGTAAGAGACATTAAAACACCATACAAGAGAGAGAGAACAGATAGAGGAGGGAGAGTGAGAGGGAGAGGGAAAGAAAGGAGGGGTGAGGCATTCTCAAGACAGAGAGTGTTTTCTAACAATTATGAAACCTGTTTTGTAACAGGGTAAACCGGGGTGATATTTGTTTGTCCACACTCAACCTGGAAAACAACGGGGAGCACTTGACCAGGTTCACAGGCGCACATTCAGCTCCATAAATGTTTCCAGCCTGTAGATATTCCCTTCAAGGTAGTCACACTTTCACTGTCATGTAATCCGAACGTTAACTAAACGTTGCAAACCTTTGCATCTATAAACCTGAGAGCATGCTAACTGTCTTATTAAGTTGTTATTACCCAAGTATGCACCGATTCATGTTTTAAATTGTAGATTTATCTGTCTGCTAGCTAATACAATCCTGCTGCAGTTCGGCACACAGGGAAAGTAGGCAACGGTCACTCGAATATCGGTCAGAGTGTATGTGTCCTTGTGTCTGAGAGGTGAACACATTAATAACGTGTTCCTGCATTAAATAGGCCGTATACATGAAACTGAATTTTGTAAGCAAACGAATACTGCTTACAAGTCGGTTTGCTTCTTTTAGAAGAGTACCTTAGTTGGCCTGTTACCTAAGGGAGGATTTTGTAACAGCTTATCTTGTTGATCCATTTAATTTGGATCAACTTTATTGATATAATAACATGCATAATGGACAGTGTATACACACAGTGTGTTTGTAATACTAAACTGTAGGTTAATCTGAAATTAAGTTAATGTGTAACTGTATGGGAATGGTCTTATCTTGTTCTGTGTGTGATGTAATTGTTTTGCTTTTATTTATATTTTTGTAGCACGGAAGTGTATTCGTGCACTGAAGGTGGTTCAAGCGGAGCATGTCGCTCCTCAGGTGTACTCCACACGGTGTTCCTCCTCCACTGTGCCACGTATTACCACTCATTACACAGTGTACCCCAGAGATAAGGACCCACGATGGGAAGGTCAGTTCTGTGCTACATGCTGTTTCTTCACTGTATTCTCTTTAGAGGTGAGAGTGAACACACGTGATGGGATAGGACAGACATAATTTCAGATTCTGGGTTTTATTCACAAGACTGATAAACCTTATAATTTAAGAGAGAATAAATTTTTTTTAAGCCTGTAAGAGTTACAGAAATACATAAAATCAAAAGAAAATGGAGAAGTCATAGAAATGTATGTAAGTTACGTGACATGTGGCCAAGTATGGTGACCCGTACTTGGAATTAGTGCTCTGCATTTATCCCATCCAAAGTGCACACACACAGCAGTGAACACACACGCACCGTGAACACACACACCCGGAGCAGTGGGCAGCAATTTATGCTGCAGCGCCCGGGGAGCAGTTGGGGGTTCGGTGCCTTGCTCAAGGGCACCTCAGTCGTGGTATTGAAGGTGGAAGAGAGCGCTGTACATTCACTCCCCCCACCTACAATCCCTGCCGGTACAAGACTCGAACCCGCAACCTTTGGGTTACGAGTCCGACTCTCTAACCATTAGGCCACGACTTCATGTATGTTACATTTCGTAATTATCAGTTGATTGTCATGAATGAAGACATTTCTAAACTGTACTATTTTAATTGTGTTGGTTAAAATACAATTACTTTGTAGTTAAGATAATTTTGTTGACTAAATAAATAATGTGCTAAAGATTTTGACTTTACTCTTAATGCATACACTGATAAATTAAATTACAAAATTTATGTTGTCTTTAAAGTCAGTATGTGAGTAATACTATTAAGTAGGGCTGCACGATAAATCGCATGTGATATTTAACGCGCATCTTGTCAGAAAGCCGGTTCTGTAATCAGTGGTAAATCTCCATCACCTGCGTGCAATGTATTATATACAATATCCAGTTAAAAAAAATAAATGTTGTTGAAATATTATAAGGATGCAAAAATAAATCAGTCATGTTTATTAGGATTTTAAACAACAAAAGTATTGTTTTTTTTGTAAAAATAGTTCATAAACAGAGTTGACCCTTTAAGTAACAGAATTGTAAAGTCACAGAATTGACAATTGTCCGATGGACTGTCAATTCTGTTACCGCATTGTCAGCATTGTTACTCTACCTTGGTAACAGAGTTTGACAGTCAC